TGTCCGCCTAACGGTGGACCAACCCCCATTTTACAAATTATACAAAGTAAAAAGGTATATGAAAGAAAGAAATCGTTAAAGAAGAGAATAGTTGAAAACTTACATCCTGAACAGTTAGAAAAAATCTTATCTCGGTGATGAGATTAGGGCGCAGTATCCGTAAACCCTCACGGCTTCAGTGTTCTGTGGGCATTTCGCCTTGTATCGCAACTGATACTGCATTAAATAGTCGTATGTAACTTTTTTGGCTATAAGTAGTCTGCTGAATATGAAAATAAAATATAAAACTATACTAATAAATCATAATGAAATAATTGTTTGTTTTTTGCAATAACAGTAGCGATATTTAAAATTAAATATTACACGGTCACTTAAAAAAAATTTAGAACTTTATGAAATGCATATTTTCTCCAGAAATCAACTGGTAAAGAAGAAATGAATTAAAATAGTTTTGTTTTTCAATCTCATCGTCTGCTCATGTTCTTGTGCTTTAGAAAATCTGTAAATGTTTAAATTTTTTTCAGTTTTGTTTAGACTTATGTCTTGTTACCAGAGTGTCTTTTATTTTGTTTTAAAAAAATTATCCTCTTTCCCACTAGTGCTACTTAAAATATTAATGTAGTTCTCATCCTTATCAATGAACTGAAATTGCTAAATAAATTCAACAAAAACCGATTGTATAATATTTTTGTTTAAAAAAATAAATAAGAAAAAAATACCTAAAAAATTTCGAGTTGGCGATTCATATAACAAAATATCAAATAATCTGGTGTATTTTGGAATTAAATTTGACAGAAATCTAAAATGTACCTCTCATTGCACTTCAAAATTATAAAAAGTAACACAAAAATCCTACAAATTCAGTCACTTCCTCACAACCTCAAACCTCAGACTCAAATGCATTTATCTACAAATGCATTCTTCGCCCTTTCCTTCTCTATGGTGCTCCGCTACTGTTTAAAATTTTAAAAAGAATAGCTAAAAACACATCAATAGAAAAAGAAAAGTATGATAAATTACAAACCTTATTAAATTTTCCCCAGCGTAACAGAATTTATAAACAGAAGAATAATAAAATTCTATGTCTCTTTAAAATATTTAACCAACAGTGAATTCAATATTATAACATTTCCGCTGGCTCCTCGGCGATGGCAAAATATAGATATAAGTTAAATTATAAGTTAGTCTTAGAATAAATTTATCAAGATAAAGATGAGCCCCACCACCTCGATTAGGATTCAAGAAATAAAGATTAATAGTAGGACTAAGGAAGGCTGAGGAAGACCTTAAAATGTATCTAATGATACAGCACAAGGAACGTCTTACATTATACATAAGAAACAAAACTATACATAAAACTGGATTTATAAAAAAAAAATCGATATACAAATAATTTTAGATTATCAGATAAATAATAAAAGTAAATAACGTTTTTGAACACCGTCATCACGAGCATTTATTTTTTAATTGATCATAAAATTTGAATCAAATGCACAATCACTGAAGAAGCTAATTCCTCCAGAGTCTATGTATTTGTATTAGTGATTCGTGAGGTTGTTTTATATATATATATATAAAACATTAGATTTTAATTTTGTTTTCTTTGCTCCAAAGTGTTAATATATGTATGTCACTCATCTGGATGAATAGATCATTTGTCTGAATGCTCCGACATTTCTATAGGATATTGTGCCAAAGAGTTCATCTAACCTGTAAGAGACTTTGCTAGACTTCTTACTCCTACGAGAAAATCATCTTACGAAAATCTGACACGAACCAGGTAACACTTTTTTTTATTACAAGAAAAGGTCACTTTTAGTAGAATCTATATTACGAAAGTTACATCTGACTTGGAGTTACATAATATTTTGATAAAAGAATTATGCTTAATTTTAGTTGAACTTAACTTAAATCTGTATTAAACAAAGCTCAAATAAACGATACAATCTATTTTTAACATATATGGGATATATCTTTATCTCCTCTTTTTAAATAATTTAAGTATGATAAACATCGATCATTTTTCACGTTTAAGTTCTTTAATAACAGTGATGTTTAAATAGAGAGCCATAAATTACCTTTAGGGAAACGAAAAATATTAAAATTCTTTGGAGTTAAGTGGTATTTGAACAAAAATATTTTAGGTTTTAATATTGCAATACGTAAAAAACAATAATAATAAAATCTATCAAAAATCAAACAAATTGGAAAAAAATTGTATAAAACATGCACTCGAACTTCATTTATACTGAAAATTCGCTCTTAAATAAATTAAAATTCAATTCTTGAGTAAATATAAACGTGTAAATTACTAATTTATTAATTTAAATGTTACAGAGAGAAATTTCTCTTAAATGTAAGCAATATTAAAACTATTAAAAATCATATTTTTTTAACATTTAAAACTGTTCCTATGGTTCATGTGTGATTCATTTGTGTTTCCATTTATAACTAATGAGTTTCGTTTTATAAAATAACTTCATTTTACTGTGAAACAAATCTTATTTTTCTCAGGATAAAATATGTAGCATATATTATAAACTTAAGGGTGCAAATAAAATAAAAAACTATTTCGAAAACTCAGTTGTTTTTTCTACAAAAGCATTATTTTATATCATTCCTATTTCTTTTTTTTCGAATTCTGTATAATAATTATATATATATATAAGGCAAACAGAAAATTACCAATAGTTGTATAGGAAGTATTTAATTTTTTTTACAATACTTCATAATATCCACAAAATACTTTCATAGAAAAATTGTATTCTGCATTGGAATATAATAATATAGCTATTATATATTTTGCTAGCATTATATTAAAGAATTACTACGATTTGGCTATAAAATAATAAAACCTTGAAATCAAGTGCAAAAATTCAAAGTTAATTCCGGTAAGGTATGCAATGGAATGCAGACCATTTCGTCTTCTGGGGAATTTCCAAAGCTTTATAAATCGGTTCATTCAGTCACATTAGTTTTGGTTTCTTGATAAGATAATTTTAGCATTAAAAAATAAATAAATTTAACAATATATCGCTATACAAAGTGCATTATTTATTACTTTTCTTTATTAATGAAAAGATAGATGTTTCGATTTGAAAAATAACTAATAGCTGTATTCAACAATTTTTTTAATTTTTATTATTTGAAATTTTATGAATTAAAATGACCGAATAATAAAAGAAAGGATAAACCATATTTTTTATGATAAACAGTATATAATTCAATTACATAAGTTAATTTGAATTAGTTCTTTTACATAAAACCACAATTAATTACCGAATATCCTATGATAAAAAAGAAAACATGTATAGGTTATGGAAATATTTGTTTTATTTACAAATTATAAATCAAGAAAGATTCATGATAATCAATAAGCAAGAGGTGATAATCTGGTTAACAAAAGTATTTTATAGAATAGTTACACTGTTATTAATCAGTAACTACTGTGATAATTAACAGTTATTTATATGAGATTTATACAGTTACTTTTTCAGACTTATGGTTATGTTTACGTGTAAGTATATCATCATTCAATTTTATATTGATAATTACAAACGATCACTACAGTTACCGAAAAGTAGCTAGTTTATATATTATATAACACATTTTAAATCCGATAAAGAAAACATAATTCAACAAGTTATACAAATTTTATTGAAAACAAGCTTTGCAAAAGTTAAAATCTAAAATATTATATCCCTAAACCAATATATTGTTGGTTTAGAGTAAAAAGTCATTAAGTACATTCTTCATGGAGTTAAGTTCTAAGTGCCTTTTTGTCAATTTCGGCCTAATTTATCTATACAAAATGCAATAATTGCATAAAAAATGACACAAAGTCTTTTTTATTTATCACTATGTATATTTGTGTGTATATCTATTTGTATGTATCAAATAGGTGGTTAATTTAAGTGCACATTGTTCAGATTTCTCAGACAGTGAAATTCATCAAAGTACGTGGTATTATAATTCTACTACTTTTAGTAATAAACTTTATTAATTTATTAATATGAGATGTATACAACTTTTTTTTTTAAATGTTGATTATTCACTGAATCTTATATTGGTAATTAATAACGATCGATCGTTATAATTACTGAAAAGAAACTGATTTACATAATATATAAGAAAGTTTAATACAGTGACAATTTAAGTAGTATATTGGCAAAATACGACTTGCTTTAACAATCCAAAAATTAAATACAAATAAATAATTAAAAGGAGTGAATTAATTTATCGATAAGAACATGCGTAATAAGTGCATCGATATAACACAAACTCATTGATATATCAAATAAAATTACTCTAAGTGCACATTGTTCAGATTTCACAGAAATTTTTCCAAGTAATTACTATTATATGAAATGCTATTTAATGACTTTTTTTCATTACATTGACGACATGAAAAGTCTTTAATTTATTTATTTATCGATGAAAAAAAAAAACTCTTTTATGTATCAAATTTAATTATGTTAGTTGCACAATGTTCAGATTTCGTTGATAGGAAATTCATCAAAGTATTCAATTTTATGACGTGCTTTTTGCTTTAAATCGATGATATAATCATTGTTTATTAAAATACTTCATTTTAGCCTTGTTTGAATTAATATTTAGAATATACTGCTTTAAATTATTTCGTGTAACATTTTCTACATTGATATTGGTACACTAATGCATGTCGTACACTAATGATATAATAACAATAATGCACATTACTAAAACATTTTTAGACTTGAATAGTGATAAGAATCCGGTCTATAGATAAACATCAAATTCTTGGATTTTTCATGGATTAACTATTTTTGGATTGTATAAAATACATAAATTAAATTTCAAAATGAATATGATACATTTCATGTAGCTTTGTAACATGTTTTCATCTCTTTTGATGGTCCATTATGTTGAAATAAATAATCCGTTTTAAAAATAAAGAATAGGGTTATTTGAGGTGATGTTTTATTAAAGAAATATAAATAATATATTAAAAAATAACTTACATATAATTTTTAATCCAGAAGGATATGCTTCTTCGAACCCTTCACAAGAAATGCAAAGGAGTCGGGAGAACAGGTGTGGGCGTTGAGACTCGCACAAATAATAGACGGCTTGCTATTTTTAAATCTCTCAGAGACCAACAGTCTAAACTATTTCATAATTTAAAGAAATATATAAGGTTTATTATACAACAAATATATAATATATGATATATACATAATAGATTTTTCAAAGTTTAACTTTAAATAATTAATATATTTTTTTTTTTTAGCAAAACTTTTCTCTCATTATTTTTTAATAATGTTCCAGAAAATATTATGTTGCAATCAAACCCACATTTTAATAAGATTTATAGTTCTATTGAAAATTACGAAGAACAAGGTTAACAAAATGGCGAGCATAAGCTCACATGGTCACACTGTAGATGAAATTCCGGAAATTTCCGAGTGTAGCCGAATGTATATGAAATTTGTGAGAATTTATGTGACAATGCTTAAAAATTGAAATAAAACCACATAATTCATTTCTTGTCATATACAACTTATTAAGATTTTGAAGAAAAAAATCAAAATTAGTAATCTTTTATGGTTATTAAAATAATTACTGCTTTAACTAGAACAATCCCTATCCACCACCCATTCCTATAATCCTCCAAGAAGGTTAAAACGGCAGTGGCCCCAGGACGTTTTATAGTTTGTAAATATTGGAGTTCTGGCAATGGCCAGATTCTCCACTCACGACATGAGTGTATGTGGCTAAAGCACTCTTGCTCAATCTCCACTGGGTTTAGTCCCAGTGACGCGGTTGAGAGAGAAGTGCAGGGATCTCCTGGAATCATGCTTTTCCCTCCACAGTTGGAGGGACAAGTCTGGCTCGGAGTTCTCTCACCAGATTGTAAATAGTGTATATAGGTATGTATGTGTTATTTTTATTTATTTATTTTTAGGTTATTTTATTCTTATTTATTGTATATATTATTTTTCTGTATAATTTATGTTATTTATTGTACATAGAGTGCGATTGTGATCTCTGAACACTATTATAAATGTCCATTGAGACAGATTGTAATATTTATAAATAAATAAGTTTTTTAAAAAAATTAGAACACGGCTTGTGCGAATTTCACTCACTACGTTGGCTCAAATCTGTACCAGTACAACCCATGGATCTTGGATTCAGTACTTTGTAAGGAGTACTGTATCAAAGTCAAGCAAGGGTTGTGCGAAGAGGTGATAATAGGATCGGGACCTCGCTCAACCGCCAGATTTTTTTCCCTTAATTAATTATTTATTCAAGGATACCCACCTTATAGAGGCTGTCTCCCGACCTCTGGGTCTTTTCACAGCTGATGAAGGTTTACATGTCCTCAGCTGGATTCGAACCCGAATATTAAGCTTTGGAAATCAATGCTTAGCCCACCCCTACATTCGTTCAGGTTTCTTTTCAGTTTAGGTCGGGTGGAATAATCTTATATGATCCATCGCCTATTTTTGATTTCTTTCTTATTAATATGGGTAGTTATTTTGATTAGTAAAGATTTGGAGAATCTTGGGTAGGAGGAACTATAAAAAGTTTGTTCAATACTTAGGGGTCAAGTTTTGTTTCGGAAATGATTGTAAATAGTACTTCTAAGTATATCTATATATATTTTTTTCTCTTTAATTCTTTATCCGCACCTGTCATGGTGTTGACAATCAGCAGATGTGTTCTCATGATGAGGATAGGCATTAAAGGCATGAGGAAGAATAGTACCCAGCAGCATCTTTTCCTAGTCATTATTTATTTTTTTGATTTAGGTGAGGAGATCTCTCATCCAGGTCCTTTTTAATCTCCTCCTGATAGGCATGTCAGTCGTGGCCATGTCGTTTATAAGTCCGTTTGTGTGTCCGTGTAGTTAGAGATGAAAACGAGAGCAGAGAATACGTATGTGTTGGTCGATAGTTGGCTGTCGTAAGTCGTTATGTAAAGTTTTGTTGTTAACGTACCAGGGAGCTCCTGTTATAAGTCGTAAAATTCTGGATTGAAATTACTGTAGTTTTTGTATGTGCGTCTTTTTTGCCGAATCGTACATCTGAGAGGCGTATGTCCAGATGGGTTTGAATAATATCTATATTTAAAATTATTTTTATACTTTATTTAACTTGTTACCCAGTGTAATAAGAAACTGGCATGCAGATGATGCGGCAAAGAACACATCGCGGAAGATTACCTAAAGAGGGATGGAAACTTCCTACTCTGGGTAATAGAGAGAGGGGTCAAGAGCAGTTAGATTTACACCGGAATAATTGAGAAAACCAGAAAAGGGAACCTTCAAACGATAAGCCGGTGTAAATGTAACAATTATTTATATTACTATGTATAAAATTATTTATATACAGTAACTAAAATTGTCAAGTATTAGTAACTATTTTGCCTCAATGTTTATTCAAAAAATCGATTTTTTTTACCAGTCTTGATCTTGGTCTTGCAACAGATAAGCGGTGTTGGTCTTGGTCTTGGTCTTGCAAAGTGCAAGACCAAGACCGAATTCGGGCAACACTAATTGTTTCTAACTTTAATCCTTAGGCTTAGGGATTATCTAAGGAGTGTGAAATTAGGATGTGAGGATTTAGTCTTTTGGAGGCACAAAAGCTTACTCAGCTCTTGAAACTAAACTAATTCAAAATATTCTCAAACAAATCACTATCAAACTTCACTCATTTTACAACGTTTAATTAAAATTGATTATCCTTCAAAAGAAAACTAATGCACTAAGAAGTGAGTTTATGAAAAATACTCCAAGGCTTAAAAGCCTTGTTATTGTTATTGTTAAAACAAAATAATTATTCTCTATACTGCAGGAGAAAGTAATCAAGATCTAAAAAAACTTGAAAAGATCCTGAAGTTGTATTGCCTCTGAGCTAAAAGCAGACAAAAATTACTCTTTTTCTCTGCTTGGCTTAACGTTTTTAAATTTTCTAGGGAGTGAGGATTATCACCTTTGACACTCTTGAAAATGTGTCTGTCTGGTGACACATTGTTCAATATGTTTTCTTCTTCTGAATATCGATATGAGCTTCAGGGTTAGAAGGGGTTTCATGGTACAAGTAGCCATCAAATTTTAAAGGGGGGCACATTTTGATGGATTTTGAATTTTTGAGGAGGATGAATGTATTTTTTATTCGTTTTTATTTTTATTATATTTTGATTTGCAATTTTATTTTAGTTTTTTTCCCCTTTTTTTTCTTAAATAAGTAACTTTTTTGATTTTTCCATATTAATTTATCTCATCTTTTATTTGGACAAAAATGAACAAGGTATAGATGGTGTAGTCTCATTGGTAACTATTAAACAAAATTATAAAACTGATAAATCATGATGCAATATTTCATAAGTGATATAGTACAATTTTTTGTTTCAGTACCAAAGGTATTCGATGTGAAGCACAGGCGGATATACAGGAGGGGGCTTTAGAGCTGAAGCCTCTCTCCCCTCCTCCTTCCTCCCCCCCAAAAAAAAACGATTAACTATAACCATGTTTTATAGACAAAAATATTAAAAACTATCTCTTAAGTATTATTGTTCGTGTAATTACATTTAATTACTTCAAGAATCACTTAAACACCATTTCATATAGGTAGTTCATTTCTTTCTTTCTTTCTTTCAAATTAATTATTGTTATATATATGAAAAAAAAAGTCTTTCGGGCTGAAGCCCCCAAAAATTAAATCCTGGATCTGCTAGTGATGTGGAGAAGTTAATAACATTCACTAGCGGATCCAGGATTTCATTTTGGGGAGATATCAGCCCGAAAGTTTTTTTTTTTTTTTTAATACAACAATAATTATTTTGGAAGAAAAAGAAACAAACTACCTATATGAAATGGTGTTTAAGTGATTCTTTAAGTCCTGTTAAATGTAATTACATGAACAATAATACTTTTAGGGATGGTTTTTTAATATTTTTTCCTTAAGGTGTAGTAATATTTTATGATTTTGGGAGGGGGGGGGAGAGAGGAGGCTTCAGCCCGAATGCCCCATACCATTCTTTAGATCCGCCTGTGTCAACATTGGTCGTCAGGTTTAAATTAAGAACAGCCTCGTGAATGACAAACAGTCAGAAACTGGTGGAGGAAATGCCTGGTAGTATTGCCTAGTAAGAAAGAATATTACAAGTATGCCTAGTAGTATCCATCGCTAGGCCAGAAGTTTGATGAAAGTATTTGTTTGAAAACGTAAGTAGCTAGAGTTATAACATAGAGAGAGGGACTGAAGAAACGAGAATCGATTGGAAATAATTCACAATTATAGTAGTAACTATGACTAATAATTTTTAATTTAATTGATAGTGAAATATACATTTGGAAAGATAATAACAAATGCAAAATTAAACATATAACATAAAACAGAGAAAATATAATTATATCTTCTTTTCAAATGAAACTTCAAAAATCAGATAAAACAATATTCATTTTTTTTTTTCAACAATTTTGAGCCTGCATTCTCCATTCCTGGCCCTTTTCATTCAGTTTGTTCTCACTCATTTCATTTGTTATTTTTTCATCACTGTCCGAGTAAGATTGTATAGTAAATACAAGAAATGTCATTTAGGTAGATAGTGAAATTATCTTCAAAGATTTTCTTGAAAGGTCATTATTTGTGCTATTCCATTCTTAGTCTTGTATCCAATTCTTTCTCGTATTTTTTTTTTTTAAGAAATTTCTCCTTCAAGTTATACAAATTGTTTTGAATATCCTGTGATATGTTTGTGATTATTTTAAATTTTCAGTAATTTGTTTGTAGACCATATTTGTTTCTTTTATCTACCAAATTATTGGTCATTTTTGTTTATATATTTTTATTGATGAAAATGTACATATTGATTGATTTTTATTAATGTCTTTGTCTTTTGGACAGATATTTTTTTCTGTTTTATTTTTTTTATTATTCTCAAGTGATCTATTTTTCTTTTAATCTGCATGAATTCTGAAATGCATTAAATGCAGAATGAACATTTACACTTATGCTTGAAATTTTTAAATCAGTAGATCACTTCATATTTTTTGGTTACTTTAATACAAATAAAAGAATATTATATAAAAGCTAAGATA